TAGAGGTTATTCGCAATCTCAGTCTTGTGGCACTCCTCTGGTACCTTCATGGCGCCCGTCGGTGGGCGAAGCAATTTTCCCAGGACTGGCATCAAGTGCTACACCGATGGGTGGACATTTTTTTTGGTGCGGACATGACACAGATCGCCCTCTTGGATGTCACATAAACCCGATTGTACAAAGCAGCAAGCTGGTTATTTCAATTGCTGGCTTAGGGGATGCTCATCTAGCGGAACTCCTCGCCAACCCTCGCCCAGTCCCACTAGGCGGCTTTTACATGTTGGCCGAGCACTCTTCACACCCCTGCACGTATCCTGATCTGCTGGACTGGATATCCCATCTCCAGATCCACATATCAGCTCCTGATACCAAGGACACAGGCAAGTGCATGGACCCCGGACACAGGAGCACTTGGGCGAGATGGGGAGATATGTGGCAGGGCCCGAATACAGCCTGGGGCTATGTAGGCGTGAGTAGTGGTAGCAACAATCGCAGAGTCGTGAATCTTGTGCGTTCTGTCCACAACTTACGACATCAAAGAGGTTTCGCGTCTTTCGGATATTCAACTCAAACGATCAGAGACGGGCTGAATCGACTGTCCACGCGCTGGGAATGACGACGTCAACGGACTGAGTGATACAAAAACCTTGATCAGATGTAGTCAACGATTTAGAATTCCGAAGAATCCGTTGGTCTCCATCATGGCCCATGCTCGATTGTGCAGCATCATCCATACCAAATACCAGTTTCTAAGGTGCTTTCGAGGATTCGAAGGGTTCACAATAACGGTGAGAAGCCTGCAGAGTACTCACGATCAACTGGTCAATCAGTGCTGTTAGAGAGGAGCGAAACCGTTAGGATGTCCTTAGGGGATGCGTAGAGCCATATGATATACGCGGCGAGCCCTATGATAATCGAGTAGAAATGACCAAATTCTGGGTCACGTTGTGTACAGCCCTTTTTCATCGCCGCATCGCCCGACGAACGAACGATCTGGATATGTGTGAGAATGCCGAGCACTCAAGCTTCAGAAAATCAGTGAGCAATGACCGGGAGAAATCAGGGAGGAAGGGTACCTGTCAACTGTCGAAACCTTGGTCAAATGGATCAAACGAGCGGGCATTTCGGATGTCAATGCAACGGCTTGCTTGACGATCTAGGCACGGAGGTGTGGTGTCGATCGGCCTCTTACAGCAAGTGGAGGCGGCGCAGTGCGAGACACCAAGCAGAGGGGCCGGAATGGCTATTGACGCGCGACTGTCTGGGGCTCGGAAGGTGGAAGCACCTCGCCAGCGCTAAAGCCGTGCCCGCTCTAGCGCGTACAAGAGGCAGAGTGATCGAGCGAGCTACGCTCGGGCACCTGTTAGGATTTGATCCGGCACCGAGACGCTTTGTGTCGAGGGCCGATCAGATCACGGTCCGGTTTCTTTATCTCATACTTGACAAACGGCCACTCACATACAAAGGACCTTTATCATACTTACAGTATATATACCTATAGCTACTCGTCGTTACACCCTCAGTCAATTATACAAGAGACTGAGGGTGAGCCACTTACTTACTTACCATATTTATCATTACTGACGTACCTTAGTCTATCTTCTCTCTTATCACTTAGGTACGCTGATCAATACAGTCAATTATACAAGAGACTGAGGTCTATCTTCTCTCTTATCACTTAGACATATTAACTGTCTATTATCCTACGGTATAGGATTCTAACAGGTTATGGGCCTAAGCCGTACACTTTAACAGTGACGAGCTTTCGAATCCCTACCGTGATCCCGGAACCCTCGTTCCGATCAACTTATCTCCGGGCCCAGTTGTCCCGATCTTATCAGCGCGTCGTGATCTTATCGACACGCGCCTCGCCACTCACGCGAAATCCTTTGTCGTTGCTAGATGACTGTTCCCCCTGCTGCTCCCCCTGCTGCTACCTCTCGTAGCTCTACCATGGCTAGTCTACCCTCCGATGCGGCTAACCCATCCATCCCTCGTCTCACCATACGCACTATCTGGTCAGGCACCAGATTCGACCGCATGAATGGCGACTTCAATCAGTGGTCGCAGCTTCTTGAGGATGCACTCATCATGAACGGACTCGATGAGTACGTTATTGATCCAGTCAAGGTTCCCTCTGAAATCACAGGACCCCGTGCCCACGCCAACTGGAAGAGAAATAACAAGCTCGCCATCGCCTTTATCCGCTCTGCCGTCGCAGAAACGGAAATCCCTGATCTCAAAGCGGACGGCACGGCACAGACATGCTACGACGACCTGAAGCGCCGAGCGCAACGCGAAGGACCCGTCAAACAGGTCTCCCTCCTTAGAGAGGCTCTCGCAACTTACTGCTCCCCATCGGAGCCGCTCCCTACCACAGCAAAGAAGATTGTCGACACTGTCCGTCGCGCGTTCGATATGGGCACCATCACGGTCGACCTCTTCACATGCATCGCGCTCCTCAACAGCCTCAATGGGAATTCCTACGAATCTTTACAGGCGTCCGTGTCTCGCGGCCTCGCCGACTCGACAAAGGATAAACCATACACCTCCGCCGATATTCGTCGTCTCATGGAGAATCAGCAAACCATCATTAATTCCAAATCTACCCACCACTCGTCCGACACCGCACTCGTTGCCAAAGGTTCCTATCCGAACGACCTCCCGGGCCACAATCATGGCGCGGGAGCGATCTGCTGCACTCTTTGTCAGTCGAAGGGACGGCCGTGTCGGGGTCACTCACAGAAGTGGTGCGTTCAGAAAGGAGGAGGAATGGAGGGAAAGACGATCTCGGAATCGATCGCAGCGCGCGGCGGTCCAGTTGGAAAAGGGAAGGAACAGAAGAAGGGGAGCAACGCGAAGGCCTACATAGCCGTCAAAGGTAGCGACGGCCAGGCATTCTTCGTCGATCCCGCGCACCTCACCAAACTCCAGACCGACGCGAAGTCCGCCGAATTCGCCGGCCTCGCATCTGACAATAGATGCTGTAGCGATATTATAATGTGGTGTGTAAATCTCACTTGGCCACATTGTTATGTACCAGCCAACCTCTAAGGCCTTGATGACATTAAAATGTCTCCTATACTAGGGGGGGTACAGCGTCCCGACATTATAATGTGCACTTTTTTCATGCCCCCCCGCATTATAATGCAAGTACGTCTACCCCACCCGCCTCGAAAAACAGTAGAAATTTCCGCCCCCCCCACATTATAATGCCTCCAGCATCACTTGATTCCCTACATTATAATGTGTGTCCCCCTACCCCCCACCCCCCTCCAAATTCTACATTATAATGCGTCAACTATCACATGATCCCCTACATCATAATGTGGGTCCCCCTACCCCACCCCTCCTCCATACCCTACATTATAATGCCTGGACTATCACATGATCTCCTACATTATAATGTATGTATACCTACCCCTCACACCCCTCCTCCATACCCCACATTATAATGCTTTGACTATCACATGATCCCCTACATTATAATGTGTGTCCCCGTACCCCCACCCCCCCTCCATATGCTACATTATAATGCCTCGACTATCACATGATTTCCCGCATTATAATGCGCGTATCCCTACCCCCACACGCCTCCTCCATACCCCACATTATAATGCCTTGACTATCACATGATCCCCTACATTATAATGTGTGTCCCCATACCCCCACCCCCCCTCCATATGCTACATTATAATGCCTCGACTATCACATGATTTCCCGCATTATAATGCGCGTATCCCTACCCCCACACGCCTCCTCCATACCCCACATTATAATGCTTCGACTATCACATGATCCCCTGCATTATAATGTGTGTTCCCGTACCCCCACCCCCCCTCCATATGCTACATTATAATGCCTTGACTATCACATGATTTCCCGCATTATAATGCGCGTATCCCTACCCTCACACGCCTCCTCCAAATGCTACATTATAATGCGTCAACTATCACATGATCCCCTGCATTATAATGTGTGTTCCCGTACCCCCACCCCCCCTCCATATGCTACATTATAATGCCTTGACTATCACATGATCTCCTACATTATAATGTATGTATACCTACCCCTCACACCCCTCCTCCATACCCCACATTATAATGCCTTGACTATCACATGATCCCCTACATTATAATGTGTGTCCCCGTACCCCCACCCCCCCTCCATATGCTACATTATAATGCCTCGACTATCACATGATTTCCCGCATTATAATGCGCGTATCCCTACCCCCACACGCCTCCTCCATACCCCACATTATAATGCCTTGACTATCACATGATCCCCTACATTATAATGTGTGTCCCCATACCCCCACCCCCCCTCCATATGCTACATTATAATGCCTCGACTATCACATGATTTCCCGCATTATAATGCGCGTATCCCTACCCCCACACGCCTCCTCCATACCCCACATTATAATGCTTCGACTATCACATGATCCCCTGCATTATAATGTGTGTTCCCGTACCCCCACCCCCCCTCCATATGCTACATTATAATGCCTTGACTATCACATGATTTCCCGCATTATAATGCGCGTATCCCTACCCTCACACGCCTCCTCCAAATGCTACATTATAATGCGTCAACTATCACATGATCCCCTGCATTATAATGTGTGTTCCCGTACCCCCACCCCCCCTCCATATGCTACATTATAATGCCTTGACTATCACATGATCTCCTACATTATAATGTATGTATACCTACCCCTCACACCCCTCCTCCATACCCCACATTATAATGCCTTGACTATCACATGATCCCCTACATTATAATGTGTGTCCCCATACCCCCACCCCCCCTCCATATGCTACATTGTAACATTATAATGCCTCGACTATCACATGATCTCCCACATTATAATGCGCGTATCCCTACCCCCACACGCCTCCTCCAAATGCTACATTATAATGCCTCGACTATCACATGATCCCCTACATTATAATGTGGGCAAGGATCAAGGTAAAAATATAAAATTTATCATTTATCACACACACCCGGAATCGAACCGGGGACCGCCCGCAGCCTAAGAAGTTAAGCGGGCATTGTTACCAACTACACCATGTGCCCATTTATATCTGTTAGATGTAAGCTCGACAAGTTGACTTACTTTAGCTTCATGAGCTACCATTAGACTGCACATTGTAATGTTCGCAGCTCTCGTTATGTACTACCCAAAAGTCCAGGTTACATCAATATCATATGTTCTTGATTACATCCGTGTCCGTGTTTCTAGTGACAAATTTGGCCTTCTCAATCAGACCATTCCTCTTCCTCGCTCTCGTCAACGTCTAGCTCGACCTCTATAACATCAAAATTTTCTTGTAGGTTGTCTCGTAGGGCCTCCTTAGCGCGTTCGCGAATCCGAGCCCACCGTAGACGCCACTGCTCTGCCCTTGATCTTTCGACTTGCACCTGTTCGGCTGCGTACGCACGCATGCCTTCATCAAGACTGGCTGACCCTGATTTCCGATGACTACCCTCTTTCTCCCACCAGGACGCTCGCCATTCGCAGTATTCGAGGACACGCCTCATTTCCTCCTCAAGCAACATCACCTCTTCCCTCCATCTGTCCGCCCGAGCGCGTGCCTTGACCCATTCCAAGCGGATACCCTCATGAAGGGAGTCATCTGCATCCTCCTCCATTTCCGCGGCTGTCACTGTGTACCAAATCCAGGACATGTTTCGGCGTCCATCCCCAACCCGAAGCCTCAGGGTCGAGAGTGTGCGCAACCGTACCTCTCCATCAGAATTCTCATCAACGTCAACAATAGCGCGTGCCCTCTTGCCTGTCTCCACCTCCTCCTCCAAAACGGTCCACTCATTTACAGCCCGAATGTCCGCAGCCGTCAGTATCCTAAATGTTTCCTCCCATTCCCCCGGTCCTCTCAGCTTAAACAGGGCATCACGGGCAGCACAATAACGATCACGAGCGGATCGAATCTTCCTTTCGATTTGATCTTGAAGTGCTCGCATCCTCGTATAAGCGCCCTGACTCTTGGCGTTCTCGTCCTTGAATTTCCTTGCGAATGTTCTAGTGCGAAGCTGTCGACGCAGATCACCCAATGCTTCGGAAGCGTGAGCTTCGCGTAGTCGATCTTCGATTGTGGGAAGATCAGACGTGCAAATGCGTGACCGCCCAACAGCATCCAGGGATGATGGCAGCTGGAGGTCCATCTGCTCTGGAACTATGCCGGACTCGTCAGATCGCACTAGTCCGGGCATGTAAGTCGCTTGGACTTCGCGAAATTTCTGAATTTTGCGGAGGAGCGAGGTGCGTTTCTGTTGCAAGGCGGCCTCTTGAGCTGGTGTGCGATTCTTCTTTGCTGCTTCTGGATGCAGGGACAGCCTGTGTCATGAATAATTTAGTAATAGAAAGAAGTTCCGCGTCAAAATGCGCGCACTGGTTATCCGCAATTGCTAGGCCGGAAATGATGAAGGTCGCTGGCGTGACATCCAGGGAAGCACCACCACTTTCAACGTTTCGATGATCTTCTTCGGCAAGTTGTCGTCGGATCTCGTTGACAGATACGGCTAAGTTCAATGTGGTGGTCAGCAGCAATTTATGAACCATGAGTTACACTCACTATCTTTGTTGTGATATAGTGTACATCGGCACTTACCTCCAGCTTAAACTCACTAAATAGTTCCATTTACTTTTCATATCACTCAGTTGTACTTCTAAACACTTTCTACTATGTTTCTCATTTCAAACTTCGTTACTAAAAAGGTTACTTTTATTTACAATTTGAGGTCTTGAAGTATAAAAGCCTTATCAGCGAAGAGACACTTCATCTAACTCAACTGATTGACAACGCCGAGAGGGCCGAACCAAACATGGCGTTGACAAACAAGCTGAGATGAGAGATCCGTGGAATTGCCGCGCAATCATCCAACTCAGCCAACTGACAACACCGAGAAGGCCGAGCCAAACATGGTGTTAGCAAACAAGCTGAGATTCGGGGAATTGCCGGACTCGTGGTAAACACGCGCATCACGCCGAAATCCCCGAACGCAAGGTAAAGGCGCGATTCAAAGGATGTACCGCGCGTGTTCGGTCTCGGACAAGGCATGCCCGAGACCGAAGCTTGCAGAGTATATAAACTACAGTAGTAACATGAATAAGACCATCTCTTTACCCCAATACATTGCGTGAATTAAGTTTCACTTGAAGAATCTAAGAATTCTTGTACTCGCGTCGTCGAACTTACCAATAATTGCTTCGCGCTATTGCTAAGGTCTATCTTGGGCACGAATATCATTGCTTCGCGCTGATATCCTCAAGTCAACGCCGCGTTCACTTGGTTTCTAAATCTTTAAGACGACTTATTAACAAATTGAATTGGATCATTAAAGATTCTAATTACTTCTACAAACTATTCAGAATCTTCGAAAGCGTATATTCAAGGAATACACCAACATTACGCTGGAGCATAACATTGGTGGACACACCCGGAACACGTCTTACAAGATTTAAGTAATCGCTGATTTAACGCCTAGCAAACATGCCACCGAGAGCAACGAATAACTCACGGAATGCTACACTAGATCAAAATCAAGTCGAGGGTGTAAATAACCCTAGTACAATTCCTAGTACAATTCCTCCCCCGGAACCCGAGAACGACAGAATAGAGGAAGGAGTACAACTACCTCCTGAGCTCATTTTAGACCCTCTATATTCGTTAGGTGAACCTATTCACGGGATCGAATATGAAGATGATAAGTTTACCTACGAAACAGTTAACTTCCCAGCATGCGAACCTGGTTCGAATTTCATGAGCGGAAGCGACGACAGATCCGTGAATGTTAGAATAAGATGGAGAGAAGCTATCGAATATGGGAAAGCTATGGGAAAAAGCGTACCCTTTGATAACCCTCGTGCTTTAACTCGGAAAGAGCGAAAAGAAATCTTTGTCGAAGAATTATTCCAGCTAGATAGAGTGTTGACGTCTGTCGAGAAGTACGAAGACCAAAATCACTTCATAATATCAGCGCGAAGAGAGGTCTTGACAAAATTGAATTCTCAGCTTAAAAGAAGAAGAGATGAAGCAAGGGACTCACTTGTTATCAGCGGAGAAGGTGTACCTCCATTACCATTATGGGGTCCTACCGGGAAAGCGAACGACTATTGGACGCTGAACGATTTTGAAATCGTTGGAGCATGCTATCGCCAGGATGTTGAGATGTTCCTCGCGCATCTTGCGTCTCATCATAAATTCGCCAAGTATCAGAAGGAGGCTAAACGATCTATGGATGGACGGAATCAGACTAATGCGCCTAAAAATAATAACCGAGGAGACAGATCGACAACAAGCGCGCGTGAATTCGATCAAGATCCCGGAAGCATTTCCAGAATAGCTGAACGCGCTTATCAAGCGGGATATCACGCGGAGGTTTCTAAATTTAACAATCAGCGAGCCTCGGTTTTTGGTAAACCAACGCAGAATAACGCGTCGCGAAGAATGCAGGAGTTATTCGGTGAAAGGCGAGAGCGCGGAAGAGACACGCCTCCACATCTAACTGATGGATCGAGAGATGACGGTTATAATTCGGACAACGAGGACAACAAATCTGATAAGAAAGGAAGTAAGCGACAACCTCGAGGCCGTGAAGCACCTGAACCATCGGATGATGGAAGCGACGACTCAGACAACAGCTCACTTCGTAAACCTTATAAGAAGCCTCGAGGTAATAAGCCGTCGAAGCGATTCGGCGAAGGAAATACGCGAAATTCGGATAGAGACAAGACTGGTTCTAAACGAGAAATGCAATTTGAATATAAACTGAAGATCGACGCGATACCTCAATGGGATGGAGACGTTGACACCTTGGGACGGTGGCTTACTAAAATAAACGTAATTTCTGAGCAATCTAATACAGTTTTCGAACAACTCGGAACTTTGGTACCTCAGCGGTTGAAAGGAAGTGCGGAAACTTGGTATTACAGTCAAAGTAAATCAAAGCGATTCCAACTTGAAGAAAATTGGGATACTTTACGCGAGGCCATCGGGGAATACTACATGAACCGGTCGTTTATGGATAAACAGAAGGCTCGCGCCAATAAAGCGCATTACAGAGACTATGGACATACCAGGGAATCGCCTAGTGACTACGTTATTCGAAAGAGGGAAATGATTGAGTTAGTATACGATTATACCGACAGGGAAATTATCAATGAGATAATGAGCAGCGCACCGGCACATTGGACCACGATCTTGACTCCGCATCTCTACGAGGACTTAGAAGGTTTCCAATTAGCCGTGAAGTATTATGAAGACAATCTGGTTAAACTAGATGGGAATCGATACATGAGACAGGATTACGGATATCAATCAAACTCTAGAGAGGGGAACAACAATTCTAGGGATTCGTACCAGAATTTTAAGACAGCAAGAACTAACCAAGTAGGCTGGAGTAAATCAACAACTAATCCAGAATTCCCGAAGGATGACACTAATGTCTCACCGCGAACGACTCCGGAGGACAAAGGAGCTCGACCCTGCAGACACTGTGGAAGCGGTAAGCATTGGGATAACGAATGCAAATACGCACGAAAGGGGAATAGAAAAGCGCGCGTCAACTTAATACAAGTCGACGATGAAGAGGCAACAGCACAAGACGAGTATGACGAGTTATACTACGGATTGCCCTCGGATGATGAATTGGAATCGGGTTTTGATCATCCCCCTCAGAGTAATTCCGAAGACGTTCAGGAAGAAGAGCGTAATAAGGAACTGGGGGGGGGGGAGTCCGAAATAACTTCAAAGTCTTTCACTACTCAAGCTACGCAACTTAATCAACGAAGGTTTACTTCTGATCATCAATTAAAACCATCTTTGAATAGGAAATCACGGCGACGATTTGCGAAAGACATCGAGAGAACTGCTTATCGAGTAGATACAGGAAATATCGAAGAGAAATTGATTCGCTTGAGAAAGGTCATGGCCCGTCCTCCAGGATGTTCATTTCTGGGAGCAAGAGCGACAACTACATCAGCAACAATTAATGATAGAGCAGGAAAGTCAATACCTGTTATCATTGACTCCGGATCGGATATTACGCTGATTGCG